GAGTTGGCTACGTGCATAAGCTGATAGTTACAAAGCAGAATATCAGGTACAGGCAGTTCGCAGGAGTAGATATTTGGCAGACCTCCAGTAAGATTTTCAACCGTTTCTCGAGCAAGTAGAGCGATGTTGTGAGCAACTACAGAGTGTGAATCGAGTCAAAGATTCTGTCCCGGCTGTCCGATAATGGTTGCGACTTACACGTATGGATTGATAAAAATACTTCTGACGTGGAGCAAGTTTGAGTTGTGAATGTGCTGATGAGCTGTTCCAGTGATTCCGGTTTGAGAGGGACAATCAGAAACTCGTCATTGAGAGTACTGCATCAGATACCATCAACAAGAGATCGAACTGTTACATATTGACTCACAGGGGGATGCTTTTCCCTGCCATCAATGCGGGAACAACATCACCTATCTGATTACAATTCGACTTTTGAGTCGACAGATAGTAGGAAGGACGCACCATATGCCCGCGAAGCTTGAGCAGTTCGCTTTCTATTGTTGGTAATTGCCCCTCCTCTGCGAGAGCTCGCATATGATAGACACAAGCAGCACTGAATGCCGAGGCACCTTTGCCTAGGATTACTACAGACACAATGTGAGGGACCAAAGATTTGATGGCCAGTGTAATGACACTTACCATAGCGCAGATGTCCCAATATCCAGCAGGAAGCTGCATTCTCTTTCGAGGTATTGGTAGCAATGCCAACCTGATTTGCAAGCCACAATGCTTCCGCCCACAGCCGTCGAACCACAGATTCTCTGCGGAAACCAAATTGACGTAAATCGGGGACAACAGGAGTCTTTAGGGGATATGAGCTGGTGAACCGCTGAGATTCCTCGGTAGAAAGTTCCCCTAGCCCAATGATGAAAGGATTTTTGGAATGAAGAGCAATAAATGTTAACAGGCAATGTGCCAGTACGCGGTCTTGAGGTGAGAGAGAATGTAGATCCCATAAATGAAGTTGTAAACTCTTTCTCAGCCGCGAAAGAGGTATCATGGGGTTCGTTATTATTGGATGCATATCGTAAGGTGCATTTCGGAGCACTACCCACAAATAACTAAGTTAGCGAATGCACTTGTCGCTTAGTACCCTGGACACGCACTTTGCATAAGCTCTTTGATCACCTCTGTCGGCATCTGTATAGTTGGAGAGACGGGTGATGGCTCATCTAAGAAATCCGGTACGGGTTGTATGGTAACCATTGTAGATAGCTCGCCATGAAATTGAAATGGTATCGAGGAAGGGGGATGATGCAAGGGACCGATGTTGGTTGGAAGGCTAGAAGTAGAAGGACTACTAGTGTCAACTTCCTTCTTAGTTGCAAACTGAACAAGTTCTGCTTTCGTCCTTCGTTTCCGGCGAATAACTGGCGTTGTTTGGCAGCTTTAAGCAGAAATTTCAACAGGATTCTAGAAGAAGATCCAAAGAACACTAACTTCACTCCTTTCTCTGCACATCGCGGACAAGGCCCGTTCAATTGGGGATGGCAAAGAACGCGATGAAGTTTACAGTAATCACAGGCTGGAGGCTTTTTGCGTTTACCGCTAATTGAGCTGGCTGTAGACATCCAGAACAGTTCTTATGATGATGGTGGAAGGAAGAGAAGAAGAATGTATACCATCGATGTAGAGAAGTTATCTGGATGCGACAGGAAGTGCGCAGTGAGAAAGTCTACTACAGTCGCTAACGTACATAATCATGCTGCCTTCGAATTCTCAGTGTTCAGCGTTCAACATTTATATTATCAAGTTCTGCTCCGATTACTATTGTCATGCATCGTAGGTTGTGGTGGCGATGGGATTGTCATAAATGATGGAGAGAAAGCATTGAAAAGAACTGAAAAAGAGATAGGAAGCTGTAGATACATCTCTTCTGTTGCGTGGAGGCGAAGGAGAAAAAGATCAATCAGCGCCATATGGCATTCTGGTAGCAGACAAAAACGTACTGACAAATACAAGTTGATTGAGTAAGGATACAACATAGCGAAGAAATTATGCATGAACTATGATCGGTGGTCCCAGTAATAGTTGGGAGGTGGAGGGGTTTTTGAAGGTTGTTCAGCATAGTATTCCATTCGTGAGGACCTTTTGGAGCTCAAAGCAGAAGATGCCGAAGGCAGAGGCTGTAGAAGTCTGTCAATCAAACGGTCTACAATATGAAGGGGATATGAAGGGGAAACTGAAGTACCTTGGATATCGTACTGGCGAACAATCCAGGAACATCTTTCGTACTTTTTCTTGGCTCATGCGACTCATTGAGTGTCGCGGACAATGATCTCGTAAAAGGAGCATGGGTCGAATCACGACGATCCTGGGTCTTCTCCAGATCTTCAGCCAAAAGCAAGGCTAAACGTTGTCTACGGCGCCGTTGAAAGATTGCAGCAGCGACAATGGCCAAGATGATGATGACTAGAAGCCTTTTCAGGAAGGAGTAGGATGCTTCGAAGAAGGATGGACCCACTTATTCCGATTATTACACCAATCTCCCATGAAATACCCAGACTATCAATGTGCGTTGAGCGAAAAGTTGAAAGCATAGATGGCGATTGATGGCGTACTTGTCAGATTCATCAGTTTTCAAGAGCATTTGTTGAGTATCATTATTTGAGCTGGCCATCGTTAGCCGCGAAGGAATGGATAACGAAGCATGTTTGCTATTATATATATTCTTAGCAGCCAAGACAGGCTGGGCTTTTCTGCAATGCGCGCCAAGAGCCAAGAAGTGTGTCTTGGCTACATCTGATTTTCTGATATGTTTTATGACATACTGTTATCCTTCCGAATTTCCTGGAATTGGGTTGATGCACTCACGAAAGCCCTACATATATACGTTCAAGCCAAACTGGAAAGAACTGTCAACTTACAATATCTTCAACTAGTACGGCGTAAATTCCGTTTCGGCACGACAATTATAAAATGAAATGTGGCTGTGTGGGCGCCGACACTCGGCATCGTTTCTCGTGACCCCTCGACATAGCGGGGACGTGGACTGGGAGTGTTTTCCCGCCAACTTCAAGCTTCCAAGAATCAGGATAACTTCAAACAGAGATTAGACCCATATCTCATCCTGTGGACTGCTTGGCTACTAGCTAGTAAACATGACCGCCGTCTCCTCGTTTGCGAGGCACGGAAAGAAGGTGTGTCTCTGTCTAGAGGTGTCATTAGGCTTCATGTTGTTCTTGGTATTGTCCTATACCACGCCACAATTTCTCATATACCGGAACATACTTCTCGCTTCACCGCATCAACAAACTTTTGGGAGCTTCCTATCGGATTAACTCCTTCCTCTTCACGGACGATACAGATTTCATCATTCTCGTGTCTTTGATTTTCTCTATTCCCTAGAAATAATGTTGCTTGCTAAGACAGTGGCTTATCTTCTGCTGTCTGCCTTACATCTAGATCGTAGCCATAGGTCGAAACTATGCCGAGCATATCAAGGAACTGTCGAATACGACCCCCAAAGAGCCGTTCTTCTTCCTCAAAGTATGTTGTTATAATTCTTGTTACGTCCTTTCCAACTTTCCATCATCAAAATCCGCAAACGCCTCCGCTTGGGTGCTCTCCAACAACATATTTGACACCTCGATTTACATCTCCCTTTTCTTTCTGCTCGGAAGTCAATCCCCGTCCTGACTTAAATATATATATATTGTTGAGGTATGATTGTGCTTTCCTTTCTTTTATTGGAATTGGCTGTGATCTTGGGTTCACCCTGGTTTACGCTGTTCCTATTTCTTGATAACAAGTTTTATCCAAGCGCTTGGCTTCGATAGTACTTTCACTTGGCTCAATGCATTTCACTTCATTTAAACGTCCTGTGATTAGGGATTTTGGCTTTTCTCAAACTAGTGGTCTGGACGCATTACTCATTTCCGAATCAACTCTTCCGCGTTTTCCCTTTCATCCTCGTTTGGTTAGCTGTCTGACATGATAGTCATGATCTCCAGCCTACAACAAGCTATTTACCTTCCGGAGGCAGAGTTGAAATCCCCAAGGGGATAATATGCCACCATGAAGGTGAGTAGGCCTGGTTCTTTCTTTCGTGCTTTTGATGTGGGCGCCGCGCACATATCCTTATGCTAGATTGCGTCGGCTGACATCACAACAATTTATACAGTGGAACTTGGCCTCGTCATTGGCAAACGTGGTCGGGATATATCGCAAGCCAATGCAGAAGCGCATATTGCTGGTTACGGTAGATCGACACGCATTTTGTGTTTCAACGAATTAACCATTTAATGGGTTTGTAGCCTTAGCGGTGGACATGACCGCCCGCAATCTTCAAGAGCAGGTAAAGAGTAAAGGCTTACCTTGGAGTGCTGCAAAAGGTTTCGATACCTTCACGCCTATAGGGTACGTATCTTCACTTCGGAAAGGCAGCCTGAATATTTTACTCCGAGCTGGTCGCTCCTTGTCACTGGCTCCATTTCCTCCGTTTTCCCCGCGAATTTTCGTGAAGGCCACACGAGTATCCCTTCTTTCGCGGAGTTACAGCTGAATGCTATTTTCTCTCTTGTTGACCATCCATTGTCTTTTTTTAGATCATTCATCCCAAAGTCAGATGTCAAGGACCCTCATAATCTCAGGCTTTGGTTAAAGGTGAGTTTCCTGCTGATTCTATTCGATAAAATCACATTCCTATCATCAATGTAACCAGATCAACGGCGCTTTCAAGCAAAACGGTAATACCTCAGATATGATATTTCGCATTCCGAGGTTAATCGAACACATCTCATCGATTATGACTCTTGAGGAAGGTGACTTGGTTTTGACTGGAACTCCTGCGGGTGTGGGTCCGGTCAGCGCCGGTGATCAGATTGAGTGTGCAATTTCGGAGACTGAAGGGAACGATCTAGCGAAGTTGAGATTCAGTATCGTGGATCGAGAAGGAGGATACCAGTTTGAAGCTTGAGGATATTATGTCTATAAATTTCGTGAGCGATGACCGGAGTGGCTTTTACATGTATTAATTCTCCTACTTCAATTATATCATATGCCCCATGGCTGAGTTGGTTACAGCGTCCGACTGTTATAAACAATGACATCGGAAGGTCGAGAGTTCGAGCCTCTCTGGGGCAGGTTGGGTGTGTGTGTGTTTCATGACTTTTTGCTGTCTGCGAACCACACATATCGTAGATATATTATATATATGTCCATCATCTAATCGGAAGCACTTAGCAGTCAGTAACACTTACTCAAGTGAGCGGTCATTCTATCGTGAAGTATTTTGGGACATACTACGAGCGTAGTGTTGAATAGGCGTGAAGATGTGTATGTGAAGTATGGGTAGTGAGAGATACTTATAGAGGTATATTTTAGAAAAATCGTTATGAAAACGTACGGCGTCAACGTGGATGCAATATGGGAACGTGTAGGATGTTAAATAGATAAGTAAGGCGAGGTAGAAAGATACTCATGTTTTGGATGTGCAGGAGCGGGTAGAAGAGAGTTAATTAGGAGTAAAGTGCAAAGCTAATTAGCAAGTGGTGAGGTATGTACCCTGAGGCCGATCAATTTGAACGGACAGACAGATAATGGGATGAAGGAAAATGTGTTACAACGGATGGATCCTGAGAGGGTTCAACGTAGAGCTACAATATGAAAGTACACAGCGACGATGAAATCGAGGAGATTAAAAAAAGGTAAAATGGATAAAACCTGGTGTCGATAGAGCTCAATAAAGAAGTTTGGCACGGAGGAGTTGTAGTCGGATTTACAGACTACTGCTCCGGTATCTATGATGCTTGCTGGTAGATCGTGAATGGGACTTTGATCGTCGCTTGGTGCGTCTACTGTTTCGTTCGACATCCCTGTCGCGGTCGCGGTCGCTGTGATACGTACTCTTGCTTCTGGTGTGCCTACTACCGGTAGGACTAATGGGACTCTGAGAAGGCGAAGGACTCGAACTACGAAAACTGTTCAAGAATTTACCAAACCAGCTTTTTGAAGGCGTTTGTGGCTGACCGCCATGCATCGGAAACTGAAGGTATACAGCATTAGCCAAGGTGGCAAATGAACGGAGATACTGAACTCACGATGGCACGAGAGGCTCCCACTCGGGGATCGTAAACCATTTGAGGCGGAGATCCATATCCGCCGATTGTATGAGAGCGTTTCGGAGGCTGCGAAGGACGAGGTGGAGGAGGAGGAGGAGGTGGCGGGGGTATAGCATAAGTATGAGACCGCTGTGGAGGTCCATACTGTCTAACGGGTACCGGAGTAGGGACTGGATAAGGATACGCCGGTTGAGGATAATTGGCGTATTGCTGAGGCTGGGCATATATTTGTGTTGCCTGTTGCAGGTATTGAGCCTGAGACGACGATGAATTATGAGCAGTAGAGCTCGAGGAACCTTTAGGAGGAGCCGTGTAAGACCTGTGAGGCCTATGTCTAGAGAAAGATGCGTCCGAGTCTGACAGTTTGGCAGCGCGAGGAGCAGGAGAAAGGGCAAAAGGGTTGGTAGGTTCATATCTCTCTGTGTCGTGTACCCATCTGCCAATGCTACGCAGTTTCGCTTGGTATCTGTCCATTGCTTCTGGGGAATAGTCGTATTCGGTCATCGTGGTTAAGAAGAAGCAAGTTGAGCGTAGATGTAGCGCAGAGGAGAGTTTTGTATGAATAAAACAATAAACAAGGCTTAAAAGGAAACCAGAGAGCCGTTGAAGCCTTCCCAAATGGGTGGCATGAAGGAGATTGAAAAAAATATGTAAATATGCTTCCGCCGTGTTCGTAGCACGTGTATGCCTGAAATACCGCAGCGGCTTCTCGGCTCGGAGCAATTTTAAGGGCTACGATGATCCCCACCTTGTCAGTTTACTTTTTTTTTCGTCTACATAACGCGGGGATGCCCCTTGTTCCTCAAGCAGGTAATTGTTCTGTCGTTGCAGTTGTGGGTCCTTAAATTGAAATTTGAATGAACTCTCGAATGACCGAATGCTCAGTCTCCTTGACAGCCTTTTGTCTTTCATCTTCATTATCATACTCGGAGATACAATGGCAATTCACAAAACATAGAATATTGTGGATGACCCACTTTGATATCTGTACAACACTGTTCGTTTGATTCCCCTGCTCGTAAGACATCATTCCTCCTCAGCGCTCTAGGCTGGGCTTACAGTCACTTCTATTATAAGCATTACCACCTTATCATCATTCCGCGATAGTGTGAACTATCATGATCTTGTATTGATTTCGTACATCATTGCACTACCGAAGCAAATACCACCAGTAAACGTCGAGAAAGCTACTATCAGGCTCCATGAAGCTCACTTTTTTTTACCTCCCCAGATATGTAACTGCCTTGCACGAACAACGTGTGTACAGTGTGAGGACGAGCAAAGGATCTAAACTGGGAAGGTGTTTTTCGTACTAATAATATGAAGTCATCAGCTAGGTGATCAAAACAATCGATAACCCAATTGATCTAATCTCTTATTGATTTCATCTCTTTCAAGATTCCATTTACTACCCAACGCTGCCTTAATAGGTTTCGCTTCAATTATCTCATGGGCTACTTTTCGATTGAGCGAAATGAATGCCTGCGACGTCAAGGGTACAAATTTCTCAAAGGAAAGCACGAAAGGAATCGATTAGTGGAGCTAGTTATCCAACGGTACTACTAGTATTCAGTCTCGTTAGCCACTTTACGCGACCGTATTAGGTGAACGCCTCGGTCTCATCATAGGCACTAGTAGGGTAGTCCAAGCTAGGGCGACCGGGCGGCTCTAATGTTGATGTGAGTACCAGTCAAAGCTGACCACAGCATGCCCGGGTCAGAGACCTCAGACAACGTGCGTCCTTCCGGATTTAAATTTCATTCGACCTAGGAGCTACATGGTTTACACAGTTACACGAACTCCACATTCATTAGACACAAGGGTATACAAGGGTATAGCAACTGCTGGTATCAAATAGAGTTACAAACAAAAAATCCACCGCAAACACAATTGGCTACAGCATTGCTGGAAGCTGTTTTTGTGTTACATTCGATAGTATACACCATGAGAAGTGATTACATAGATGCGACGACAAGAGTACTCACCCATTAGTAGTACATTGACATTCATGATCCACATCGCGATCCACACCGGAAGTTTCGCTCAGAGGATCAATATATCCACTCATTACACGCTGAGTCCTAGGTTGAGTTTCGATGTGTGTCGCTCTAGGTACAGGAAGCTCGAAATCATGACCCGCCTTAGCAGAATGTGTATTATGGACCCAGTGGTGTGGAGATAGCTCGCGATGAAGCCGATTGAAATTACCGACGTCGGGTAACTCATTACGACGAGGAAGCGTCGCGAAGGATGTGCTGGCTGAGCTAGTGCTCGAGAGATAAGGATGTTGTGGAATGTGATCAGAGTAAGCGTGTAGATGAGGGTATAATGGATCTAATGATAATGAAAGCTGCGAAGAAGCTATAGGACGTTATGAATAAGCGTAAGGCTTGATAATGTAAAACACACGAGGCATAGGGAAGTTCAACGCAATTGTGCCCGTCGAAGGTTTGGTATGCCTCAGTTCGAAGGATGAGGTTGAAGTGCCTGAAAGATATAGAGTGAGCAGAAATAGTTGCCTCAAAAAGAAATGCATGCACGTACTAGAGTGTGCCTCAGGGGGAAGATCAACGAAGTGCATCTGATAGGCTTCAGAAATATGCCCAGAGTCATGGCGCTTGTGAGGCATGGTATACTAGTCTATAGAGCTGCGAGCGAGGTGCAAGACGCGGCAATATCAATATCCAAGTGGTGAAGCCTCGCAGGACTAGTAATCGTCGAAAAGAAAACTCAGTCAAGGAAATTTCAATCAAAAATGACTCGTCTTTAATCGATAGGGTAGCAACCAGGCATAAGCGACAGTTGCATTTTAATAGATACGTAGTTGCAGAGTGCTGTAAAACAATTTATGAACCTGGTTTCCATCATTGAGCGGAGCTACCCCTTGGTAGTGTAGATCGAAGAACCGATTGGGGTTAAGCGCTGACAACGGGTCGGGTACCCTAAGGCGCCTATAAGTTCTGCATTTGAATCCATCCTTCGCTCTCCTTGACTTGCACGGCGAATTTTCAACAACATCGGTACCCTAACTTGACGGTCCTAGTCCTAGATGAGCTGGGAGAACAACAGAGTTTAATCAAATTACAGGTGAGTTGCCTTGCGCTCTATCACAATCATATTTAATGGCTTCTAAGACTCTTGGGTAATGACCCTTTGGGACTAATGACGGGAACAAAATATACTGGGATGAGAGTCAAGCCCTTCCCGTCTTGTATTCTTAGGACGAGTTTGCCAGGTCCTCATTGCATTTTGCCTAAAAGCTATACTCCCTTACAGCCGCGATCCTCAATAATGGCCATAGAACGAATGATCTTCAGTAAATGAGAAGACTTAAGGCAAGCGTTTGTGTGTAGACGGCGGGTGGACAGAGGTGTGATGATGCACTAGGTAGAGCATAGCATAGGGTGCTTCATCAATCATCTGACGCTAAGTCGTTTTCTTTGTTGAGCGCTCTGATACTGGTATGGCAGTACTATTTGATACATGCCATGTTCATAGGTCGCTATTTCGGTCTTGATAATGAATCGAAAAGCTGTTTTTGGTAGGACGGGAACTGAGTTACATATACCGGAAGCTGAAATAAGTCCCATGGATTTAGGATAAGTATCTGGCTTCATTACCAGAGCACACCTTCACCTTGCTCTTCTTTCGCGCGTTCATGTCCGAGTTGAGCGCTTCAAATATTCAAATCCAAGTGTACGGGCGGTCGAGATCTGTTTTGCGATACCTCGAATAACGCATTTGTACTGCGCTGTAGGAACTGGGATCACTACGTAGAGCTCATAGAATTCGGTGCGTATCTTTTCCCTTTCGTTAATTCCTCCTCCTTAACCATAGTTCTGTCAGTGATACTAATATACGACTATCTCCTCACATTTGACATCGAGATTGAACGTTTCTGGAAACGCGATACGAAAAGATTCGCATCGATCCTCTTCTTCATCAACCGATATATGACTCTGCTGGGAAACATTCCAATCGTCCTACTCTTCTTTTGGCCTGAACCAGTGTTGCGCTATCAAT